GAACAATACCTCAGTCACATACTTCAGCAATGCACTGTAATGCACAAAATAGAGTGCATGTATTTGCACGCAACTAGTCATAAATGCTTATGCTTTAGCACTAGATGACCTGGGGGGAAATGAAGTCACCTTGTAAGTGACTGATTAAAAGGCAGAAATGTTATCTTGTCATTAAACAGTGACTGAAGAGGGGAATAAATTCACAGACCAAAGACATGAACTGAAAGAATTTGAATCACTTTCCGAAGCTAAGTATATCAGGCATTTGGATAGTGGCCATCATTGCAAAACTGCTTTATGGTGAGCCAAGAGTCATGTTCCTAGCATAACTGTCACCATGGAGGAGTGTGTAAGGAGTGTCCTTCCCAAAAGGAAATAGTATGCTGGGTCCATGGACCCATGCTTGCAGCTTAGTCCTACAGTGAGTTATAACCTATGCGAAGTGTCAGTTTGATGCTTAACAGTAGTTCCTTTACCATGACACCAGGATTTTGTTTTCGTGTCAAACAGACAAGAAGAATGTTTGTGTCTTTGTGTATGTGTGTGTATTCATACACACATTAAATTCTGCGTAAAATATTTTGCTTCTTAGAAGAGAGAAACTGGCCTTTAAATAGAGCTGGACTACTGAAGAGATTAGAGCAACAATTTCAGAAGCAGATGCCTTCACTCTGGCTGCTAAAGCTGCACTTAGACACATTATTAAGTTTTGAAAACCCTTAGTATCTAGTTGGTCCTTCTAATGTGAATGGAAAGTGCAAGGTAGGGCTTGTATACAACCACAAACTGGGGTTCAGAAGGCTAACTTTTTCTCAGAACCTTGGCCATCATGTAGAAAGAACCTGAGTAAACCCATATGTTTACACCAGCTTCAAAGAAAGAGAAACATATGAAAATTTTCCTCATAGAGCACACATTTCTACAAGTTAATGAATTATTTATGATTAAGCATATTTGTATGCAGGGGCATATTTTTTCATATTTCAGTGCCTTGGCTCATGGTTGATATAATAATTACTATTGAAATGGGAAATTTATATTGTTTAAAGTTCATGTATGAGCTCAAATTCATCCACAGAAACATATGAAATACTAAAGAGATACAGAGGGGATGGCTGAAGTCTTGATATTAGGATGTATATAGTACACATACATCACTACTGCTGCGGTGCTTGGATACCAGTGTTTTTTCACCTACCACTTTATTTGCTCTTTTTCCCTTTCTCTTCCATAACAGAAAGACTGTGGTCCTGCTCTGTACAGCCAGATCTTGCCACGGGGTACAGAAGGCGCTCGCTGTCCTCCCTCATCTTGTCGACACTCTGCACATCTTTGGCTTGTGAATGTAAATTCAGAGAGACACTTCTGCTGCTTCATGGCCTGAAGTGTAGGACTTTTTTTCCTCCGAAATAGATGTATCCAGAAACATCTGAATAGCTGCAACAAGCAACAAGTTTCTGAGTTTGGTCTTTCATTTCATTGATATTAATCCAAACCTCATTAATGGGGTACAAAGTAGTGCAGAATTCGACCTTTACTGGCTTTGTAATAACAGAGGAAAATGTGTGCAATCATTAACATCTGTGAATTTACACATTTCGAGGTACATTTTTAAACGAAAGTAATGTGTTCCCTGAAGAGATGATTACTTGTGTAGGTACAAACTCTACAGCTATATTGCAGTTTGGAGTGCAAATAACTGTAAGGCTTTGGCTTCAAATGCTCGCAAGACTTTTCATAGAATGTTCTACATAGCGCAATAGCTTTTTCACATAAACTTTTAGGAAAAGCTACAAGCCATTATACAAAAAATGGTACAACTCATAAATAAACATGTAAAGACAGTATTTGCGGGGAGATGTAATAAAGACCATATTTGGATAATATAGGCCATATTACCTCTGCTCACAAACTTTATCTTCCTTCCATCCTTAGACGATCACTGCTACTGTAGCACTATCACTATGTAAAGAAAGATATTACTCACAGGCACCATTCTGTATGCAAAATATCCACTCATTTTATGCTTTAATACACTCAAGAAGATTTAAAACATTTAGTAGTTTTTCAGTAACCCACCCATGATGTGTGATATATGTCTCATGTTTGTAAAATACATATTGGACATTTCCAATGTCTAATAAATCTCTTCCATGTCTCTGCATATTTAAAAGTGGGAGCTGTACAAAAGTGTTGCTCCCAGGGACCAACAAATGTCTCAGCGTAATAGTGGAACTATTCCAGGGATTTGCACATAACTGTGTTTAAAACCTGTTTCAGTGCCTGCTCCAGGCATTTGAACATTTTAATCCTGTTAAATGTGAGGGCACATAGAGGAAGGATAGCTTTGTGCCTAAGTACGGGCTTAAGTGCTGTAAAGGTTGGATTTTTCTTTTTCTGGCTCTATATTAAGTGCACTTCACTGCTGCAGGGCTCCATTCCCTGCATCTGGCTCCCTAATGGTGCAGTTTGAGGACTGACCGGCTGATGTTCACTGCCATTCCCGCCTGGCTCACAGCCCTGGCTTTCCTTCCTGTGGAAAGCAGGGATCTGGGGAGGGATGGCTGGTGTGCACGTGTGTTTCACCCCAAAATGTGATCAGGATGTGGCCTTTGCACACATCTTGACTCGGGAGCTCAGAAGTGTTCCTGGGTTATGTTGTCTAGACATAGGCTTAGTGATTCTGGGTCAATAATTTATGTTTTCCTGCACTTATGTTTCTCATCTACATAGTGGAGATATTAATGCTACCTTGCTTGTCTATGTTGATTGTTCTCACTTTGGAGTAAGAACTGTCCCTTGACTTCCTTGTTTAGAGTTAAGATATGAACATCCTGTTTTCTATTTAGCTTTCTGGCCAGTAATATAATTAACACATGCACAATAACTTGTTGCAAAATGTTAGGGCATCTATATAGATCATATCACACCATCAGAAATCACAAGAGCAGATAAAATAAAAGTTTAATCTCTCAATAGAATGTAAGGCATACTTCTCTGCTACACACCTAACTATGGCAATGATTAGTGCATGCCACACACCTCGTAAATCCAAAACGTTTATAAAAAAATGTATGCTGTACCACCTGTTCTCATCCAGGTTCTTTTTCTTTTAACTAAAACAACCACCAGTGAAATACAGATTTTCAGGCCAATGAAACTTTTCAGCCAGAGTCCAATTTCAAAGACTTCTTATTAAAATTGTATGAAGAAAAATCCAACAGGAACAACACTGGGAATTCAAAAGCATAAAAATAGCAGTTTCAAATTTCATACTGGAAGACAACCTATTTTTAGAGACAAATGAAAATTTCTGCCTCACTTCAAACCCTGCTCTATTTCTGGAGTTACAACCAGCTGCCTTCCTAATAAAAATGAATAATAATAATAAATACAACATGTGAACATTGGTCTTCTCAAAAGGGCTTGCAACTTTAGAAAAGTGTTGCTAACAGTCAGTTTCTCTTGCTGCAGCTGTCACATCTGCAGCAACATTCACCTTAATTGAAGGTAAGTCAAACTTCTGGCACAAAATCTTTGAGTTACGAGTTATTTTAGGTAAATAAATGTAATGCAAGCTATGAGGAAAAGAATGTGTATCTAGACATCTGTTTTTCATTTATAATGTTGGATTAAGTTCATCTCATCCTCAAGGCAGGAAAAGGATCATCTGAATCCATCTGTAAGAAGTTGGATAAATGATAACTTATGCAAGAATGCAGAAATTCTCTTTCAACTAGAAGTAAGCAAAATGGGTCACTGGTAATTAAATTATTGATTAACTTGGCCTGGCACCCATTCCACAAAGTGAACTGATGTTTATTCATTTAGACAACACATCTCAACAATGGTTTGAATGCAAGAATCCCGACTGTTTGAACTGAGAGTAGCGCCTCCCCATTAAGACATGAATAACATTTTCAAAGCTTGATACTTACCAGGCCAGTAAGAAAAAGGAAAAAACACGGTGATTTTTAATGCTGTAAGCAGGAGAACTCCATAACCATCTAAAGGACAGTCTTTTCTCTCTGTAAATTCTCTTATTTGGTTGTTCACCATGCATATACCCAACATGTAATTTGTTTTCGCAGCAAGCAAACAAGAATGAAAATATGACTGGATACCATGTTACCACACATAGAGATGCACCTACCCAAACACACACAAAAGTATCATGTTAATATTTTACATCTTCTAGGTCTTCTTCCATTCTTTCCCATGAATGGCCCATAGTGATTTCCTTCAGCTAACATATTACATCTATATTATGCTGGTGTCCCTAATTTATGGTTTATGAGCCACCTGCTGCAAAGCAGCTCTGCTGAGAAGGACCTGGGAGTGCTGGTGGACAACAAGTTAAGCATGATCCAGCAGTGTGCCCTTGTGGCCAGGAGGGCCAATGGTACGCTGGGGTGCATTAGGAAGGGTGTTGCCAGCAGGTCGAGGGAGGTGACCCTCCCTCTCTACTCAGCCCTGGGGAGGCCTCACCTGGAGTACCGTGTCCAGTTCTGGGCTCCCCAGTACAAGAGAGACATGGCACTCCTGGAGAGAGTCCAGTGGAGGGCTACAAAGATGATGAGGGGACTGGAGCATCTCTCCTATGAAGAAAGATTGCAAGAGCTGGGCCAGTTCAGCCTGGAGAAGAGAAGATTGAGAGGCGATCTCATCAACGTGTACAAGTATCTGAAGGGGGAGTGTCAAGAGGATGAGGCCAGTCTCTTCTCCGTGGTGCCCAGCAACAGGACAAGAGGCCACGGGCAGAAACTGAACCACAGGAAGTTCCACCTAAACCTGAGGAAAAACTTCTTGACTGTGAGGGTGACAGAACACTGGCACAGGTTGCCCAGAGAGGTAGTGGAGTCTCCTTCCCTGGCGATATTCAAAACCTGCCTGGATGCGATCCTGGGAAATATGCTCTAGGTGTCCCTGCTTGAGCAGGGAGGTTGGACTAGATGATCTCCAGAGGTCCCCTGCAACCTCAACCATTCTGCGATTCTGTGATTCTGTGATTCTGTGAGTGTGCCTTTAACCAGTAATTCTGGCAAAAATAACTAAATAAATGTGAAATTAAAACATTCACAAAATTAGTAGCAGTTTTGTTCAAAAGTACAGTACATTAAATTCTTAAAACTGCATAGGAGATATAGACCATCATCTTTGCTGCATCACTTTGTAACTATTTTTTCAACACAGGGTTACAACCTTCAAGTAGATAGTGTCTTATATGATGTTGGACACAACCGTACCTAGAAAGAAAAATTAAAATAATAATTAACACATTAAATGATGATTAAATGATTAAAAGATGAATTAAATTCATCTTTTTATGATTAAATATGTGTATTCCTTCAACAGTTGCATTTGTGCAGAAAAAATTAATTCTGTTTTGCATGAAAGTATCCCCAAATAAACAAAAAGGAATAGGAGTCCACATGGCAAATACAAGACATTCTGTACTAATAAGTCTTCTCTGTTTCACTGCACTGGGCAACTATAGTAACTCTTCTTCTCCTCACTAATTTATATACTGTTAATTGCCAGCACAGTCACTCATTTCCATGACAGAAATCTAAATTATGAAACAAGAGGAATATAATAGTTAATCGAATATGACACAAATAGAAGTGCTTGTATCATGGCCTTAAGGGCATTGGCTGATTTTACGCTAGAGGTTTATCTTGCACATCATATTATATATATTGTAAAATTTGAATATAAATAATGAGAGAGTGAATTAAGTATGTAACACCACAGCAACTTCAACAGTATCTCAAGTGTCTTATTTTTGGAAATCAGCTGCGTATAGAGACACTATTTTTATTTATTATTTATAGACCCTAAACGTACGTAGATGGCTTGCTGACTTAACTAGTTTTGGGTGTTCCAATTCCTTTTTTAGGAATATATCAAAGTGAGTAGCCCAGTACAACTTTTGATAAGTACAATTTGGTGAGATTGTTTTCATATAGACCCTTAGATAGGTTTACTATTTCATCCAAAGCAAAATTTGCAGCTGCTAGGAGCTGATTGAAGGTCTTCCAAATTTTTCCTTTTTGTTGTGGATCTTTAGATACTGGTTTTGCAGGTATCTCCCCAACATGTCTTGGCAGCTACTTGATTTCATATTATCTGATAACAAAATGAACAGTAAAGAATACTGTTACTAATTATAAACTCTCTTGAGTGCTACTTTGCAAACACAGAAGCAAAGTGTATTCATATGAAACAAGTAACATCTGAGTATGTCCCAACAAGTTTACCATCTAATACCATGAGCCTCAGAAAGAGAACAGCACGAGCACTTCATATATCCCAAACTAGAGAATACAAACAAGACAAAAAATAGAGGACTATGGGGGAAAGGGAGAGTGTGCGGTTAAAAAACTCGGAACGGTGTAAAAACTGCTGGAGCAAGTGGGTTTTAAGAAGGGTTACAAAGGAAAATAGAAGTTTATAGTTTCATTTGTACTTCTTTCATAGTTTCGTCTTCACTCCCAGGATAAATTTTATTTCTCATGACTTTACTCCAGTTGCTTCTGTGGAAGAAAAGACAAAAAGGGAGGGGGCTTCACAGCATGAGCTGTGGTCAACCCTGGTCAGCTCTGGTTTGAGCTCTCCCAGAAGTGGATGGGGCCTGCTTCTGACGGGCTCTTCAAGGTGCCTTGTGCCACGGCCTTTGCTGGCACCCACGGTAGCCAGGAGCCCGTGCTCAGCCCCATGCTGGGCTGGGGAGCTGAGAGGTAATAATGGAAGTGGGTGAAATGCAAAAAATGTAGCCATGAAAAGGAGTCAGAAGGAGACTGCGTCCACCACACTCCCTACGTCTGCACAGAAGCTTACGGGCACAGGGAGTCACACGTATGCCTCACCCATCTCCCCAGCCTGGCAAACCTACACCTGCCTTAAATGGGAAACCATGAAGCCATATTAACAGAGCACCGGGTTTAAGTTAATACATTTTGCTGGGAAGTAGCATTAAGTAGTTCACGCTGCACTAGTATGGTTGCATGGATGTTAGTCCTGAGCTGGCTCTTGTGCTGAGAGCTGACTTGCAAGTGCCTATGCTTATCCATGCAGACAGAGCATGAAGATCTGTATTTTTCCATTTGAAACATATATGTAGATATATTCTTCCTCAGTCTCTTAGAACTATTTCTCAAACAAATTTAACATACCTTTAAGATAAAGCCTTAGCCTTTTTCTTTCTCATCAAAACAAATTCTCTACTAATGCATATGGATATAAACTTTAAAACTTTACAATAGCATACTTGATTTTAATCTTTTCTGGTATATGAAACTAGGTACTGTATATTGTGATTCAGCCCTGAGGCTTCCAAAAATAGTAAATAGAATTCCTTTGAAAAATAAAATACAAAATCAAATATAGTATCTCTAATGGCACTATTGGGCTTCTCAGTTCATGGTATTATTACTGTGGTTGACGTAAAGCCCCTGCACTTGAGGAACAAGTTGCCCACAGGTGCGAGAAGAAGAAGATTTGCCCAACATAATTAAAATTAGTAATTGACTTAAATAAAAAATCATATTGGCAAGGACATTAACTCAGATACACCGGACAGTTTATAATACACTTCATTAGGATATTCAACACTTCTGTCATGGCTGTGCAATTTTAACACCCATGAACTTCAGACTTCTAAGAAGAGTTTAATGTTTCCAGCACCTCTGTGGAGCAATGCCACACCTGACAGTTAGGTGCTGGGCCACAAATCAAAATTCATAGGCCCAAATTAGATGCTGAAGTGTCCACACTATACGGTGGAGCGTTAAGCATCTACAAATGGGATCTTTATATTGCAAAGCACCAACTGTGTAGCCAAATATACTGGCCAGCGGGGAATGCTGAGAAAAGGCCATGTGCCACATTCCCCCGAGGCCTCGAGCGCAGCCCTGGCCCTGGGGAGCCACTTCCCGCAGCTGAGATCTGGCTGGCTTAGTGTCTTCAGGCTGTGTGGGCAAAGCCTGGAATCCCTTCTTCATCTGCTCTCTAAAAAACACCGTGACACCCCTGCCCCTTGCAAAAAATTCCCGAAGGACACTTTCTAAACAATAACTGCATGTCAGAGCATTCCTCCAGGAAGTATTAGAGCTGGTTCAATTCCTTTTTCTGTCTGATTTTATTTAAATATGTCCCTCTCCCCTGTCCCACAATAGTGCCAGATTCTGGAGTAAAGCATATAAATCTTGTCTGGTGAAGCACATACCTGAGTCTCCTAGAGAGTACTGAATCTCAAATCTCTCAAATCTTTTGAATTTCATAAGGAAATGACACATGAAGTTATCCTATCTTTCAAGTAAAAGGATTACAAGTTAGAACAGGGATACAGGGCCAGAGTTTCTGCTTCACCTATGATCCATGAAGCAGAGCAGAAAAGATGTTGGGAAACGAGCTACAGCTCCCTGATTCTCTGCCTAACATTGCACCTGCTTAGGGAGGTCCTTCGGCAGCTAATGACCATCTCTCAGGAGAACCTCAAGCATGTATTTGTAGGCAAAAGGAAGCCTTAATATCTTCTTCTGACACACACTCCAAAAACATATACCCCAACATCTTGCACCTACCTCAGACTGACATTCTCGGGAAACCTTGTGGTTCCATACTTGCTGGGAGTATCTCTTTATCAGGACTATCCTCAGCCCAGAGGTTTGCAATTACTTGCCCTGTGAGGTGAAACACAGGACAGAGTTGAGAGTCTGTTCCTCTTCCTCTCTTTTTCAAGGGAATACATATGAGCCATCTTTTCATAGCCATCAAACAGATAAAGAAGCAGGAAAACATGATCATCATCTACAGCTAGACAGCTTTTTTAATGTCGCAGAATTTGGATAGCAGTCCTTAGCCAATTTTAACTCCATTTCCTCTTTACTAGGAGCAAAGACTAACCCAAACATTGACAGGGCTGGTGTAAAGTGGGGTGGCTGGAAAGAAAGAAGCTGATCCCATTCCCTACCCTTGGTTTGACAGAGGGATGTTAAGGAGCTTTCACCAAATACTGCTGCTCCACTCATCCAGAAATCTGCAGGGTGGGAAGGCAGGAGGAACACTCAGGTGAATCCCCCCAGGGCACACTTGGTCCGTGCTGGCACAGGTAGGTGTAATTTCCATCTCATGGGTCAGCAAAGGTGAAGCGGGAAAAGCACGCCTCTCGTGCTTTTAGAGCAGGAAAACTCATAAACTATAAAGCTGAATTTAATGTGTATCATAAGGTAGCATCACAGGCTTTCCATGTTGCAGAAGGAGCTTAAAATCGTATCTTAAGATTACTCATTGAAAAATTGAAAAATGGAGAAAATGTATGCCTTGTAAACAAGCAGTGGGAGCTAAACTAGAAAACATACTGAAATGTCTTTATTTTTTCTCCGAACTTTTTTTTCCTACATTACTCGTATTGTGGTTGCACCTCCAGGTGCCAGTGAAGGTTCAGATGAGAAAATACAAAAATAAAACTCCAGTGAGAACTCAGGCACCATTCTAACGTGAGACTTTGTAGGTCAGACTACAAAGCTTCTAGAAGGCTTTAGGACTCTTTAAAGTAAACAATACTAAATGCAAACAATATGAAGGCTAATTTTAGCCCTTTTTTTCTTACTTCTCCGTTTTAAACTAGAACAGATACTGCAGCAAAAATTTCTGGGAGCTGAATTCAATCTGCGTCTTGGATACGTGGCTATTTTTCTCTGTTATATGACACTCTCAAATCTGTCATGTACTGTTATCACTCAAAACCATTTATAGCTTGTTAACAAGGCGGTGACAGGGAGCTGAATATTTTCCCAGAATGGTAGTTACATGTTTTAATAAAGATGGCTGTCTTGATCATTTTTAAGGACACATTTCATGTCACTGGGCAAAACAGCCGCCTTTGACATATGGAAACAAGCTCATTTGCCAGTAGGTGGTGCAAAAATCATGCATTAATTATTTTAGCCGAAATTAGCCTGACAATTGTCAACATGAAGAAATATGCCACGGATTTCTTGATAATTTTATTGCTACTATTATGATAATAGAGAGAATATTGTAAAACAAAGTCAGGGAGAGTTAGAGAAAACTTAGGCTAGGGAAGAATAAGCTACTATGGTCTCAACATAGATTTTTTCTCTGCACGTTCCCTAGTTTCTGAAGGGAAATCCAGTTATGATTTATATAGCCACCATAGGTTTCTTCTTGCAGAAAGCAGGTCATCTGCAGCAGATTGTGTTGTGTAAAGCGCTCACCTTTTCTTTACAAAGCTTGTTCTCCATGTTTCGCTGAACATTTCCACATCCCTCTGCAGGGGGATTTCTGCAGGGAGCAGCAGGGAACAGGGTCATGGTAGCAGCACCACCACCGAGGCCACACTGCCACGCACCAGAGTAGCTCCACATCCGGAGTATGTGGAATTCTTCACAATTTCTGCTCATATTTTCATATCTAACTTCATGTTAGTCTCTTAGTAGATCCGTGTCTCCTATTTAATCTTCCTTTTGGGACACTGACCCAAGTCCTGCTATGTAGTGATCGGATTATATCATTGGCTGAAGAAGATTTGGCACTTCTTAGTGAGCCCCACAGATGCAAGCCCTGTCAGTGTGTATTAAAAACTCCTAAAAATAGGAAAGGTAGAAGTTATAAAGGGTCTGTGAAGTGTGATGAGAGAAGTGTAAAGTGTAATGAAAAATAAAATCAATGTGTCTATAAAAGACTCAATCCTGAAGCCCTAAAGTTAGACGAAATTTGGCCTCTACACCAACATTTGTAGAATAAAAGTTCTGAAGCTGAAATGAGGTTTCCTTCTTTCAGCTTTTTCCTTTCTTCTTTCAGCCCTCCTTTCCCCATGCACCTCTCCCCTCCACGGTCTCTTTTTTCTCAGTTTTTTGCCAGAATGCAGAAAAGATCTTAAAGGATTCTTTCCCAGCCCTACCGGATGGAAAACCACCAAACTCTTTCTGTATGAGTTAGATGCAAATAAATATGTCATCTAGTTTCACATGTTTCAAAGTATCTGACCTTTTGTATTTATAATTTTTGAAACTGCTTAATTTTAAAGCCTCAGACTTTAAAGGGTATCTTCATTATGCCCTGAAAACTAGCACAAAGGCAAAGGATAAAGAAAACAGGTTTTAAAATGAACCTTTTATTACGTTTTTTTCCCCCTCTGGCAGGCTTTATGCAAGCAGCTGCAACAGTGAAATGGTTAATCAGCTGTATGATACTTAACCCTTTGGATGTCAACTTTAATCTACATTTTTTAAAAGTAATCAACATTTTTTGTGCACTTGCTCTACCTGCCGCCCGGTCTATGCTTTTGGGGTAAGCACGTTCTTCTCGCCTCAGCCAGCTACCAAGTGAAAATTTTGTACTTTCATTTTGTATGGTTTTCACTACTGCTTGCTCTACTGTCCCAAAAGAATAACCGAGAGCAGTTATGATGACTGAGTCGTTGGCATGCCTCTCTCCAAAGATGCAGCCTTTGGGAGAAAAACAATTATCAGGGTATTTATTACCTGTAGGCAGAGGCAGACACACAAAGAAGCAGGGTCTTGTGGGATGTGCCTATAACAGTCTACAGATGACTCTGTGTGCGTGTGCATGCGTGTGTATATAAAACTAGACTATGGGATAAATTACTACAGATGAGTTCACATTTGGTACACAGGAGACAGGGATGTAGAAAATAGGTATCTGCCACTTCTTCATTTCCTTTAACCCAGGCCCATTGGTGGCCAAATTAGCCGTCGGTATCCCATGAGAGCAGGTCTGAGGCTGCCCTACTCCTACACTGCTGCAGGGAAACCACAAGTGTAGCTGCTGCACAGCATTCATGGGACTCTGCCCCAACAGCTACTTTTTCATGCTATGGAAATGCCCAGGGAGCCCTTTGTTGAGCAGCTCATGTCACCTGCTAATGCACAAAGGCCACAGTAAAAATCGAAGGAATTAACCCTGACTTAGGTTTACATCCTTTAAGCTCACTTCTGATTTCTTTAGGAGAAACTAAACTGCAGGTCTCAGGGGCAGAGGCCATGAAGAGGAAAATGACAGTGACAAACAATGATAACCTTTCCCCAGTTGCCACCCACTGTCCACCCACCAGAGACATGCTGCCTGCTGCAGAAGCGAGTGCCACGACCCCAGTCAGGTCTCAGCTCGTGTCCTTCCTACAGCCTGGGAACCTTATGGATGCAGAGGGCATAAGAAAGCAGCCCATCCCAGTCAGAGCCAGGCTGGTCATCTCCTGGGGCTACGTCTCCTGCTGCAGCAGGATGCTAACTGGAAGTCTGCCTATCAAACAGAGATGTAATTTGCTCTTCTTTGCAAAGCTGAAGTGCTTTTGATCCAAAGCCTGGGTTAAAAGCCAACTCTGAAGATTTGCTAAGTGGCGCTACATTTAAAGCTTTCTTATGAGTCAATTTAAAGATTCAATGATTATCTTAAAAAGAGAATTTCCAAGCTCCATAGTAACTATGTTGCTCTGACCTTCTTCCACAGCAGTTGGGATTGGAGGAAGATCCTTTTACAGCCTTCAGATTAACAACGGCTTTTGTTTCAGAGAGATTTCATTAGCAATTTACTTTGGAATACTTTAGGTATACGTGGAGATACAGACTGAAAACGATTTCCATGAAGCACCCCCCCCTCCGGAGGGAGCGCTGCTGGAGAAACGGCAGCGGCAAACGCGCAAAAGGAGCAGACTGGGCCACACAGGCATTCCCACACAGATGCCTGGCAAAAGCTGGATGTGTTAATCCCACTCTTTCATGAATATCAAATATAGCCCAGAGTCTTAAGAAGCTCTTTTTTACATAACAGTGCAATTAAGCAATTGTATAGAATGTTTGATCCTGTGTGCTACTTTGAAGTATTGTTTTGGGGTATTTTTATAATCTCTCTGATTACAGACACTTTAAAAACAGATTAGACTGCCTTGTTTCGTTGTTATGCGAGCTCTATAAACCCTTTTGATTGATAACTATTGTATTAATGGAAATCTTTGGGGAGCAGTCTGCCAAATTAGAATAATCACATTGCAATTTCACACCTAATATATTGATAGGAGACAATCTATTAAATTTATTCCAACAAAAAGTGTTATTAGAAATAAAAGGATGTCACACACATTTCAAATTCTGCATAATCCTAAGATTTAACCAAATATATATCCAGTAAAAAGTCTTCCAATATGTTGATCAGCTAAGGAACCATTCAGCAATTTTTTTAGCTTTTTGAAATACATTACTGTTACTTTTTATCCTTCTTTAAATAGCATTTGCAATAGTTTATGCACATTAGTGACTTGTGTCGAGCAAAAGATCACAGCTGCTCAAATACCTGAGATTTAGTCCCTTTATGTTTGCTAGAAAATAACTAACTGTGTTTTACTGCCAGTGCAACTCATTTTCACTTTTTATTTCACTTACTCAGGCAGAAGGTGTGTGATTCTGGATATCAGTATGCTGATTTTCTTTCCCATTGCCACACATTGTAAATAATCTCCAACCACGGTATTGTTATGCGTCTTTCATGTACATTTCCTCTCTTCTCTCCCCTCCAAAGATTCCCTATAAGCATGTCAAAAATGCTGTTCCCAGAAGACAAGTGTTTCTATTGCTTTCCACTTTAATACCATTTAATTTAATATCTTACACCTCTGGCTACTTTTACATCTTTTTTTTTTGTATTGCAAGCTCCTTAGCCACCTGCTCCAGCCCTTGCTCCCTCTCGGAGGTGACCTTTGTTTAAAATAGTTTGTGATGTATTATTTGTTTCTGATTATACCTAATCCTTCTCATTCTCTATGGTCAAAGTAGTTTTTATCAGATTAATATTTAACCAGGCCAGAAACTACTGAGATCATCTAATCTAACTTTGTGAATAACAGCGGCCACAAGACTGCCTTGAATTAACTCCCCTTTCAACTAGAGGAGACCTCTAGAAACACATATGATCTTGATTTAAATGATTCCAGTGATGGTAAATCTACCACAACCCGTGATAAATTGTTTCAGCATTTAATTAACATGTCTATTTAAAATGTGTGCTTTATTTGTAGTTTACATTTATATACTTCGTCTTGCACCAACTGGATGTTATTAAAGCCTCGTTTATTTTAGAGTTCAAAAAGCCGTTTCACAGAAAATTCCTGTTTTTGATATAGGTACTTACACGTTCTTTGACTCTATCACTCTAAGGCATGTTTTCCAGGACTCTGGTCATTCCTACATCCCTTCTCTGAGCACCCTTCCTCTTCTTGAAATGGAGATGTGAGACCCTGGCACGTTTACTTCCATGAGCGCCATGAACATCTATCGTCATGGTCAGAATTCTAGTTTAAACTTCTAGTCTATATCCCCTGTTCTCTAGTATCTTTTTTCATCACACCATCACACCGGAAACTCACAGTCCTTTGATTGTCCTCTTCCTTGTTAGGGGGTCCAGACAGGGAGACACAGGTCACAACCAATATCTGCTAGAACACCTTTGATGAATTAAACCGCTATTATGAGTAGAGTCAAGCCATTATTCTTAATAGTAGATAACTGTCCACACAGTACATTCAGTTATTCACTCACACGTGCACAACAGAGGCCAATGAGTTTACTCAGCACCTGCTATTGAAACAATAAATACAGAAATTAAAAATTCTTATGAAATTGGGACAGAGGCAAATCAGAACAGCTCCTCTGAAAATAAATAAGTATATAAATAAATAAACAGTGGCCCCTGATTTCATAAAACACTACAGAGTAAAAGACGTAAACCGAAGCAGTAAAATTTCTCATACGAGGTTATTAAAAGGACTAAGTTGTTAAATATGTGCTGTATGCTTATGGCTAGGTTATCTGTAAGAGCGTAGCGCTGATTGGAAAACTTACACCAGAGTGTTAGCTTTCCTGCAGTTAGCCCTTCAGACATCTGATTCCCTTCTCCCCGTTTCTAACTTGATAGTGGGTTGATTCTGTTTGTCCAGGAGTTATTTTCAACTACTAGGATTTTTAAAGGGGTGAAGGGTGTCTGAGGTATGTATTGTTCTCCCATAAAAAAGCAGAACTTCTGGACCAAACGCTACACAATTGCAGGAAGCAAACAGCAAGAAAAAAAAAAGGCAAAAAGTAAAAAAGATCATTTCTGGCAGACAGGATCCCACTGTTTTTCACACTAAGACTATTTAGTGCATTGTGGTAAGTAACACAGCTTGTTAGATAGGTCTACCAGGACATACTGAGTTCACGTAGGAGTCAGGCGCTGTAGGTCATCCAGCAATCTGTAGACAGTGGACAAAGGTGAACGCTGCTGGAGGTTGAGTCTTGGATATTTTGTTTAAGGTATGATGAAACACCCCCTGAAAGCTCTTATTTGTCGTCTCAGACTACTGAGGAAGTTTAAACACCTAGCTTAGTCTCCAATTTCTAGACAGCTGAAGTTAGGTGAGATGGATCCTACCAACAAGAATTGATTACTCCAACTTTCGAAAGGAGCTATTTGAAGGTAGACAGTGGGCAGTACAGTAGCAAACAGTGTTCTTGCCAGGTATGTACAAGCTAATGTCCTCTGGAAAAAATACTTTTTGAATATACACATATTTTAATGCGAGTTTAATTCCAAGTTTCTGCAAAAAAGTTTTCATGATAATGTCGGAAAACATTTTTGCTCAATATATAGAAGAAATCAAACACAACAACAGATTTAGCACTGATTTTTTAAAGGTTAAAATAAAGTCCCCTAACATAAAACAATGCTACACATGGTATTTGAGCAATGGATTCCATTTTATTTACTTACTTAAGAAAAGACATGGGTTAAGGGAAAAAGAATGAACCTGGCGACAACATTAAAAATTCTAAATGAAGTATGTTAAGAAAAATAATACCTTTTTTTTTTTGGAAAAGAGGCAAGTAGAGTGAACATAAAAGAGTTTATAAAATATAATACACTGTAAGAAAGAGGAGTTGGATACTTTTCATAGAGTTCAGATTCCCCATCCCATAGATCTGAATCCATTCTGCTAGTAAATCACTATTACTCATCTCAATACACTAAGCGTTTTTTTACTTCTCCCATGTGTGTACATGTTTAAAATCAAGTTACTTCATTGAAGTGGAAGAGATATTATTAATATTTCTGAAGACTAGGTAATCCCAATATAATATAAAATCTACATTCTGACACTCTCTATTGCACTGACCAATATTTCTCCTCATACCCAGCTTGATCCTGCATAGGTACGTCACCTTTATTAAAAGTTATTCATGTGTAAGTGTTTGTAGGGTAAGATTCTTATACAGAGCTATAGCAGTTTGTGTTTGAAAGCATATATAGTTTTATGCAGCAAGATAATCTTTTTGCTGAGGCTCCAAAAAGTGCAAACCATAATGTGTTGCTTCAGCTGCAGCTTTCATGAGCTCTGCAGAAAGCTAAGTATAATTGTTCCAAGAAGGATGCTAAATTTTATAATACATTAGTGTAAATTGCCAGAAATCTGCAACTTCATAGAGCCTTAAAATTCAGGTTCCTGTTTCAATAGGAAAATGAAGTCTATGTTCAATAATCCTGCTTCGGTGTTATCTGATAGTGAATTGTTCTTATTTCATTTTTCAGTCTACATTTCATCTTTACTACGCTATAGACTTGCCTTTTAAGTTTAAACAGGCCTTGTACAGGGCAAATCATACCTCTCCGAATTATTATTTCCATCTCTTTCTGTGACTTCAGGAAGACAACCATATTTCCGTACAACCATACAAACAAAGCCACATATTTTCCTGAACATGAGGGCCAGAAACATTTTAAAACTAGGGCTGGGAGCTTCTTGGTACCTGGAAATTTACCAAATTATTCTGGCATAATTATTTCAATAAATTCCAGTAACTTCACAAGTGTAGACACACCCTTAGACTAGAGAAAACAATTCTGTAGCAAGGGGTGAATTCCACAACAAATTCTGCCCATAAATTACCACCACCACAGCAAGGATACAGCAATTCCTCTGTGTCTACACATCTGGTCTTGTTTTTAGTATATGCCAACAGATTTAGAACGGAGATTTTCTAATGAGGCTTTTTTTGTCTTCCTTTGCTGTTCTTATGACAACAGTTCTGACCTATGCCTTTGTAAAACTATTTGAGAAACCTCACCTAGAAAGATTTACTAACTCAAAGCAGTATTAGCAGCATTATTTTCATATTTATCCGAGAAGTTCTGTTTGTCGTTTGCGTGCCAGTAACAGAATAAATTGGCTTTCTTAGTTTTTCTCATATCAATAAGTATGTGTGCTCCTGTACTATATTTATTTTACTTTTCAGCACTTCTATTACTTTGGAAACAGTTTAGCTGTCTTCTATGGACTGGCTGCATCTCACAGTCAGTGCGCTCACCTATCATAACATTAATTTCCGCTCTTACTCTTGATATTTTTCTAAGTCTCTTCATTGCATTGATCAAAAAGAATCGGACACCGCTTTTTTCCTTCTGAAATTGGCATAAACATATATACAACAGAACAATGTGACTTATATGCAGCAAAATAAATGGTAGTTATATTCTACCATGTGGCATATTTGTCTGCAAGCATGCACATGTTTCTACGTGCACATGTGCATTTGCTAGCATATACACGGGCTATTTTGACATTTGGCAGTCCCACGGTCACAAATGCTAGTTTCAAGGGAGCTGGGCAGGCAACAGAATGTCTCAAGAATAGCTGAGCTGAGCTGAAATTTCACTCAAGCATTGGACAAAAGGAAAATAATTTACTGAGGAAATCATTTATACCAGTGAAACAATTGAAACTTGGTGCTATTAAAATAGGACCAAAAGGAAAAATTGTTGGTAGCGCATTTAAAGAAGATGTAATGAGACAGTTTTTAATTCCCTTATGTAAATATATTTTAAGGGCTTGCAATCAGGTTGGCTAAATTTTTTCTCAAAGAATTTAAAACTTTCACAGGCTCAAGAGCCACATGACACATACCACATACCCTGTGATCTGCAGAGCAGGGGAAGCTCCAGAACTCATTCAGTGAAGGAAGGAGATAACAATGCAATGGAAATTCATCTATCCTGCTGTAATTTGGGGCAGCACTGAGTACACAACTTGATGCTAATATTCCTAATGGGGTCGAGCTCCCCAGGTCCTGCTGGCTCACCTCCACGCTGCCCAGCTGCCCCATGCCACACCACCACTGCTGATGGCCATGCATTAAAGCCTTGGTATGAAAACAGCATCTGAATTCCTTGCTAGTCATGATCAGCTGAAAGGCTACAAGCTTTCTCACTCCTGGCTGGCTGGATATGTGGAAATGTTTAACCAAATCTGATTTCCAAGGGCAGAGGTCACTCTTGGTCCTGATCCTTCTGACTTTAGCACAGCTCTAGAGAACGGAGAAGCCATAATGTGCAAGTTGTGTAATTTCATGTATGGTAACTGGTATCACTACTTAAAGCAATAAGATTAAAAAGCAATCAAATAAAAAGTAGTTCTTAATCACTACTCCTTGGTAGGGTGGGAAAGGGCAAGAAAAACGAAACCACTATGAATATCAAGCTAACCAATATCAAGCTAACCAATGAATATGATCTTTTACAATGCTTAAAACATTGACCCACCTCAGTGCCTCAGGGGAACGCCTCACAGGTGGCCCTTGTCACTCCACCCCCTAACCATTCGCTGCCTCCTTTGGAAGGGAGACAGTTGAGGAGGACATGTGGGCCACTAATACCTTTCTCAGGCAGCTCCAGAAAGAGGTGCTGCAGGTGGCTGAAGGCAGGGCTTGAGACTGAGGTACCAGGCGTCAGGACTAAGGCAATGCGCTAGGCTTCCTCTGCAGGCCAGGAAGCATCTCTGAAAAAGATGCAGCCGAGCTGTGGGTTGTCCCCCTTTGCACAGAGCTTTGGACACAGATAGCAATACAGCCATGGCAACATGGAGCTCATCCAGGTGGATTTATCCTGCTCCCTGCACTGACCACTACATTGCTCCTTCAGCCTCTTCCCAGGACCTGAGCTAGCAGGTGCATTTCTCCCCTTACTGTGGCATCAGCATTAGTTTGGATCCCACACAAACACAAATGGTGGGGACTCAGGTGATTCCCAATGAACCAGAAAGGACATAGGAGATCTGCTCAGCCTGAGAGGAAGCCTCTGAGCTAATACAAGGGGAAAAAAAGTATTACTCATCTTCACTGAATTCTTTAGGTGATTTTCACACACTTTTCCTAACCAAGAGCGTCTCATGGAAGTTTTGTCACAGGAATGAGAAACCTAGGGCATTTTGACAAGCCAGAAAAACCTGCTTGAGACTTATGATCTTAGGGCATCTGTGTGTGCATATAAAATCTTAAAACACAGGAGTCTGTAGAACTACATCATACCATACACACTTCTATCTTTCAGGAAATCATACATGCATGCAAAAGAGGGAGGCTACATGTAAAACAGAAGACTACAATTGTCTGTATCAAGATAGATATATGTTTCAGGAAGTTATTTTGGCATGAGACTTGGAATAGTAAATTAAAATACAGAGATAAAACATGGAATCATGACACATCTTTAGCTTAGATAAGCTGGATAGCATATAAGATACCATAGGAAATCGAATTCACACTGTGACAAGTGACAACAAATTCCTTTCAGACAAATGACAACGAACAGACACCAGCACTTCGAAGACATAAATCACAAAAATCAGTTGTAATATTCAAAAAGTCTAACTAGTTACTCTACGGGCGGGCAGAATAAAATAAAATTTAAAATCCATCAGGAAGTACAAGACTTAAAATATGGGAACAGGACTGATTTTTCATACTAATTGAAGAGCCCTCTAATTCTGCTTACAGTATCTTATATCTTGCCCTGCTACTCAGAGGAGCAGTTACGTACCAGGAAACAAGTGAAAACGTGCTTCGGTAGACTGTACAGATAACACTTTGAAGTTAAAATTTACATTAAGAAATCTACAATTTAAAGTAGATAAATAAAATTTTTTTTTAGTAAATTGAATACTGTTCTATTTACTTAAACTAATATAGGAGGAAACAAAAAATCTAAAATGAAAAATTCCATGTATTTTCTACCTTTTGCAACTTATGTGTTTTCACTGTTAACATTTTGTCCAGCTTGAGTAAAAAACATAAGCACCTTCATTTTGCTTTGTTTTCAGTCTGTGTCCATCACTGGCTCTCATTTACCATCATCACAAGAGAATGCTGAACTGCGAAGAAAAGAAAGGAAGAGAAGCATCTAATCCAAGTATGAATTTCTACTTTCACTACATTTTGTGAAAAAACGGCAAAGAAAATTAAAGAGAGATCAAAATTAACTCAGATTTTACAACACAGTATCTTTTGTTTCACCAACGGGACCTCTACAAAAGGAGCCCAGAACCCACATGTAATGAAAATATCCAGGGATTCCACATTAAACAGAATTCACTCTTTCATATATGAATTATAAAAGTGTTAGGATGTCAAGCACAGGTCAACTTTTAACTTGCAGTAATTTATGTGAGGTCTTCTATGTGCTGCTTTTGTCTGCAATGAGCTGTTAAAAGGCTTCAAATTTTCTTTTGAAAAAAACATGAGCTCATGTCAGACAGGATGCATTGGGCTTTCCACCACTGTAGGACCTGGTGTGTGCACATTTTTGCAGAAGCTGGGGCCTGAGAAAACTGATACAATGAGAAAAGAAGGGTTGAGCTACTAAGAATTTGGGGTAAGGAGTTGTTTTAGCTATCACCTGCTTACACTCTGTGACTGATCAGAAGTCAGAGGAAGGAACTCTGATGAAAACTCCGTAGTCCTATCACTGCAAGTACAGAGAGAAAGTTCACTGTATAATTTGCTGGGACATGTGGAAAAAACAAGTCCTCCAGCAAAATGAAGCAAGTTCAGATTTTGCAGTTCTTACATTTATTTATGCAAATAGATGGAACTGATGGAATATCAGAATCTTTTTTTTTCCAAGTAAATGAGACAAAGGGGACAGTTAGGCAACTTTAAGAGGTAATTTTTGGAATTAATTAACCTTTACACAAGCAACCGCGCCTCCACCTTCTCTGCTATTTGTAAAAACAGCAACATCATCATCATCATACAGGGAAACTTCTTCGTTACCTTTTTCCTGATTGTACAGAAAATTGCTTCCACATATCAAAAAAGGAGTATATTTCATGTTCTTTGTTACATATAATGCTTATATATTGCTATACCTAGTTTTGATGGTTCCCCACTTTTTCCGGTTCGAGAATATATTAAGCAGCTCTGGGTATTTTGCTGATACCAAGAACGTGTGAGGTCCTGTTTCCTTGACAGCCGCCATCGCTCAAGGAACTGGAAGTGCAGTCGCAAATCCTCCACCAGTTAGCCCCAAAGCTTTTTATCATGTCTCTGTCTACAGTATTGCACCTCAGGGTCCTTAATTGCGTGCTGGCTTTCTGCTACTTTTTTGACTTCCTTCGGGTCTTTCTGCAGGGAAACATACACCCCCCTCCCCAGCACTCCCGTTTTTCATACTGAGGAGCTCTGTAAGACGCTTCCTCCTGTGCCAGAGAGCCGACCTGAACAAGTTTATTTGTCTCTTATGCTTATCTTAAAAGAAGGATCTTGATACACCCGAACTCAGGGACATAAGGAAGTTGCTGTGCCTCAGCTAAGCTGTGGCAGCTGCTCACGTCCGTTGTAAATGCAAACTTAAACAAAACAAAATACTATCAGTCAAAGTACCTCCTAGTTGCCATAATCTAGGAGTGTGCACGGGGAAGATTATTCTGGATCATCTGATAATGCAGTAACTTGAGATGTTCAACCTTCTGGCTTCAAATAGGTCGAACCCCTGACAGTTTATGTTGCTGTCATATTGCTATGACTGCTAAATAATACAGTTGCAGCAGCAGCACATTTCGCACGTTAAATATGGTTAACAGTTACAAATGGTGTAATTGTAATTTCTAGAGGGACGTACTGCAAACATTATATACAAATATTGTCACTTTACACAGGGGACCCTGTGGCAATCAAAGCTAGTCCTACCCTCTGTATATCATAAAGACAAAATGGATCTCTCAGGCAGCCTCCACGCTGCCAGAGGGAAGGGATGGCTAGAAATGCAAGCATGAATCTGGCGCTCCTGCCCTCCTACAGCAATACCGAACGCCTCTGTGGATCTTGCCCCCTGAAGTTTTCCAATACATCTCTATCCATTGCAGCTCTTCGCAGAGAAACGGGTGAGGCTCGTTGCAGGCACCAGAAGGAGAAGAATGGGAGGTGGCACTGGGTTCGAGTCTGCCGACAGGTAACACTGCAGAACAGCATTGCCTCAGACCATCATAGATACTAATAACAAGTTTTTTGTGGCTACGCTGCACACAGAATGAAGACTATTACTTCCCCCCTATTTAAAACCTCAATTCACTATTTTTTGCAGTGTTGGGCATGCTTCCAAGGTGCAATTATAGCCTAAATAGGCAAAGCCTGGATAGCTTTAGTTTCTCTGGTTTGGGCAGCAACATCAGTAAAGGTGTGGCAACACTCACTTCAGCAAAATCTAGACAACCAAGTCCTCATGAATCTTCATATTGTATGAACCTGTTGTAAAGCCAGTGCTGCTAAAGACTCACTGATACAGCCACCTGAGCTCGTTAGCTAGATGAAAGTTATCTCAGGATGCCTCCAAGTACTACAGTCATATCTCCCAATTGCAACATATGCAGAATCTCACCTCTTCTATTACTAAAGGTACTTCTGTTTTATAAAGGGACTGTCCACAGGTGGTTATTACCTACAGTGCAAATTTCCTGTATTGCAAGTGGTGGAGCTAAGGGGTAGCCTAGCAGGAATCCCCAAAAGCAGTCTAGCTGATCCTCCTGGGACAAACACACATCAAAGGAGAAGGTCTGACATTTTTAGATAAGGTAGTATTTGAGTTCCTTGGCCCTCTTCAACCTCTCTAGAGTCAGCGCTCAATTCTACTTTTCTTGATCTTTATATTCAGGGAACAAAAACAATGTAAGTAATTATGACTAATAGCCCCATGGATATAGAAAGAAGAAAGTATCTTCATACCATTTCACCTACCCAAAAGCATTCACACAGGACCAGCTACATCTCTGTCAAAAATGTTTAAAAAATAAGATAGAGAATATTACAGATATGACTTTAAATGTGATCTTAGCTGTAAACTTTACTGTCTTCTAAAATAGCTAACATCTGCAGCTAAAACAATGTCATAACAGATACATTTTTTACAGATCTGCAGTATGTCTCATAAAGCAATATTTCTACAAACTAAATAATGTATAGTATGTCAAACTCAGCAAAATATAGTTTGCCAGTCTTCCAACATATCCTATGAGTTCAGCAAAAGAAATACGTCACCCATAAATCTAAGCAGACTGATTTTCATTCATTCTTCACAGCTCTGTAAAAGATGTTTTATTTTATTTGTATGTTGTCTCCCAAATATGCCAGTATACTTCCAATGTAAAAAGATCTCCACAGTGATGGATGAACTCCTGCATGACACTATTGCTAATACATATATACACAGGACAGAGATGAGATAGCAGCAAACTACAAAACGCCATTTAAGTTTCATCCTTCTCTAGCTAGGTAGAAAAGGAAAGTCATCCTTTTGCACAGTGCTTTCTGAACTGGGATTTAAAAGCTCCTTGAGGGATCTAGGTACGTTGCTGAGTTCTGATGATTTGAAACAATAGTAATGTTTGAGATACATTTTAGTGTATATGTTAGGGAATATATTGACTTTTCAGCATATTAACTATTACCTGTGAATGAGTATTACTACAGCTGCCCTCATTTGCTGCATTCCTTCCCCTTCTGTGAGGACATAATTAGACAGCAGAGATACAGGAAAGTTCAGTTATACCTGAATATGAGACGTAATACAATCTCTTTAAGAGATACTCAAGCTTGACAAAATTTCAATTTATTAACAAACCCCCACAAATATTTGTCCACAGTAGATATTAACTTAACTTCACCCATGATGATGTAAAGGCATAATTCAGCTTATCTGCAGTGGCCTTTTCTGCTTACGAGTGCTGACAAAGCAGTTCTTGTGGATCTTACTGTGGCAGCTAAAAATACACGGAGCTCCAGGTGCCGGTGCCACCCCTTGCGAAGAAGCTCCTGCACTGGGAGAGTCCTTTGGAGCAGTTCTGTCCTGAAGCCTCGGCCACCTTTGTGCCACGTCTGACAGCTTCACATAACCCACTTTCACATGCAGCTTAAGTGAACAGGTGGACGTGGGCTGCAAACCCCAGCCTCTTTTCTGCTGCTTCCGCTGGGAGGACGCACACAGTTAGGCAGCGATGGGGACTTCAGCCCTAACTCCTCGAGATCTGCATGAGTGCATCTTGGGGCTTTTCAACGCTCCCTCTCTCCTCTTGCACACAGTGGAAGAGTGGAAGTGCACTACTGCTGCTACCATCTTCCTGCTTTGGACATATACACAGAATTCATTGATTTTTTTCCTTTTCTTTAATTTCTTTTGATCATTGTCCTTCATTCTGAGAGAGACTGAGAAAAAGAAACTTATGCTATCTTTGCTACCCTCCTTCCTACAGCTTCTTGGTCATGGAATATTTAAACTTCTTCCCACAAGGTATCAAACAACATTATGATTATCCTTAATTACAAACTAACCTGATGTCTTTTCATAATTAAAGGGAAGTAAATCACATTTAGAGTTTAATTCAGAACTTCCACAGAAGGCAGTGGTTAAGTTAAATCACTTATTGGAAGTACAAAATGTTATTCACAAAAGATGAAGATGAAACAGACATAATCAAAGGCAAATGTGAATCATGTCCACAGTACCTTTTCTTTTAAAATAAGTATCTGCCAGTTTCAGCAAAAAAGCAGCAAAGAAATAACTTAGTTGAAAAGAAAACAGTATTTGGAGTAATCATACCATGTTGTAAAAGGCCGGCTGTGAACAGAACTGTATTTTTTGTGAAATAGGGTTGAAAATTGCTGTTTGTAGATCCTTAATTAAAAGTTAGCTATCAAAGCCTTTCAAACTAGAGAAATCACCCGTTCCCAAAATGTTAAACTTATATTTTCCTTCTCCTGTACAGTCTTACTCCAATACAAGCTTCTATTTCCTAACCCTGTATGCTGAGGAAGAGTCATGTCAAAGCTGTGAATATCAAAATAAGAAGATGTTTAGTGTCACATGACTTTAAAATAATTA